AAAAAAAACTATCCCATAGGTATTGTAGTAGATAAAGGTTAACATTTACTAGGATTTGTTTTCTGATTTTACTACTTTGTAAATATCATTTCTACGATAAGCTATTTTGTTAAATACAAAATAAAGGATCCAAGATTTTTAGAGCTTGAAGGAACTTTAGTGTTTCGTCTAACCCAATATTCATTTCTCACACCAGGAAATTGAGACTGAACTCATTAATGGAGTTAGTAGTAGCTGTAGAATTATCAAGTCTCCTAACTCAGATTCTTTCCACTAAAATACTGTTATTTTAATAAGGCCTGATAATAAAGTAGAATGATATACCATCAGGGATTGGGCCTGCTTCCTGAAATATGACCTGAGGCTTTTCAAGAAGGGTTCCACCACTGAAGAATTCACACATTGAGCTGCCTGTCTTCTGAAATTTCACTATGAGCCTATTTCTTTTTTGTCTTAGGGTAAGATTAAAAATCATAAGGAATGTATCTATTATTCCCATTTTTGTAAGATTCTATATCAAACACTACCTAGGATTTTTAAAAATATATGTGTGTGTGTATACAAAGGTAAGGCAAAAAGTATTACTACTATGGTTGGTATTAGATACATACAGGGGTTTAGTCCAAAATAAACATGTTTAAGCATGTCTCTGTGATCAGTGGATGACTCCAGACAAATTTTCTCAGCAATACACATATAATAGTCTCATTAGGGTACCTATAATTTTATTTTTAAGTTTCCATCTAAACAGTGCTTCTGAGGGGATCTTCTAGACCAGTGAAATTCTACATAGAGAGGTCCACGCCAAAGGTTATGGTGTCTATCCGAGGGGAGGGCGACACAGACTCCAAAGAAGTAATCTTGATAGCTCTTTCTCAAACAACACAGTAGGATGCTAACAGAGTTCTTATGAAGATGTTCAAAGAAAATTGAAAACGGCCAGGAAAGTTGTGCCGAAGGGTTTTCCCCCCTATCATGATAATGTACCTGCTCACATGGGTAGCAAGGGCTGTGCAATGAGAATTTCATTGGGAAACCTTGCCTCATCCCCCTACAGCCCTGATCTTGCCCCTTCAGACTTCTGTTTGTTCCCAATGCAAGAAAATGGAAAAGGAACACAATTTGAGTCCCTCAAGGATGTTAGAACTGCCACTTCCATCTGCTGTAAATCAAGGAGTGCAGAATTCTTTAGGGAAGAGTTCGAAAAAATGGAAATACTGCCTTCAGAAGTGTGTAGACCTAGATGAAAGATATGTTGAAAAATAATAGCTTCACATTTTGATGATTTTTTTTACTATGGTTTTTGTGGTTTTGTAGAAATACTTTGTTACTTGCCTCCATATTTGTGAAAACCCTACTTTAAAGGTTGGATATAGAACACTGAGAGAAGAAAAGCAGTTTTTGCCATGGTTTATCTGTTAATAATTCACATCAATAATCCTAATATAATTCCTGTTAAATTTAAATATCAGATTTTAACAACATTAAAATAAGTTGTTTTTGTTTAACCCAGGGACCAAACCATGGAAGACTAGTTCCACGGTTAAGTGGTGGTGCTGTTAACAGCAGATCTACCACTCCTATGATAGGTAAGTGAGAAGAAGAGCTTTTCATGTTCTTTCTGTCTATATACAAATCGGCTACTTGTTATCAGAAATTAAAGAAATTTCTGAATAAATTGACGAGAATGCAACCAAAAGAAAACTAAACCTATAAGCCCACTACCATTGCAGTTCTATAGGAAAGAGTAGAACTGTTCTGTTCCGTGTAGTTTCTGAGTCTGTAAATCTTTACAGAAGCAGCCTGCCTCATATTTCTTTAACTATATAGGAAGCCTAAGAACAGCTGAAGCTGGCTCCTGGCTCCTTTTTAACACATCTTCAGCATTCCTTCAGCATCCCTTGCTTTCTATCACACGATGTTCTAGGCTCATGTTATATTTTTCCCTGCCCCAGCTATAGAATTGCTCATTTCTCCTAAGAACTTTGGTTCTTTTTAGTGGAGAATTATATTTAGAAACCATAATTGGACAGCAATCTCTTTAACATGGTTTAGATAACAAACTTAACTAAATTTTGATTTCCTGATTTCCATCCCCGCAGTTCCTGCTGTGTTTCTTTCATAGTCTAGTAACCGAAATATTTTCAGGAGGAAAAAAGTCTCCTTTTAGAGTAATATTCACTTCCTGTCCACTACTGCTTATAACTTGAATCCTATTGCTGACATGTAACTCCAGT